AAAGTTTCTGTGATGACTGCCCTTGCACTGCTCACCATGTAAGAACTTATTCACTATGTAAGAACTTGTTCACCATGTAAAAACTTGTTCATTATGCTTCAGAAGATTGGAGACTGTTGAGAATTAGGCTTGGGGTTGATTAATGATTGTGCATTGAGTCCCCTATACAGAATTTTATTGTTGTTAACAACCATATGATCAATAAATATGAGAGATGCCCTCTCAAAAAAAAGAAAAAAGAAAAAAAAGAAAAATGACAAGCAGGGCTCCTTGTTCAAAAAGTGAAAAAAAAAAATGCCGCAAACCAAGCTGATTTTCTTTCCCTTAATCTACTCCTTCCCCAGGCTGGTATTCTCCAGAAACAGCAGCACCACCTGTCAGTTTCCTCTGAATCGTTTTTTACTTGCTCTTCTCATTCATTTGCTATACTAGATCCCTGGTCCAGTCTGTTCTACCTGTGGGATGTCTCTCAGATCTGTTCCCTTTTCTCTGTTCTCATTGCTATTGCCACAGTACCAGCCCTCATTATTGTCTCTAGCCTACTTACTGCTTTCACCCCCCACTTTCCCGGCTGCCACCAGAAGGCGCTTTCTAAAATATATACCTAATCAAGTCCTTTGCCTAAAGACAATAATGCTCCCATTTGCAGCCAGATTAAGCACCCACTTCTACTCAAACTCCCTGCTGGTTCTCTGTCTTCAAGAAGTAGTAAATACTTAAATAATGGGATCATCACATATGCACTGCTCAACACGCCCAGCCAATGGGACAGTGGGGGATTAGGTAGGGCTCACAAACCTCTGTCCTCCAGATTGTGTCCTCTCAATGAAGGTATCTGTTTTTAATACGCACTAAATTTCCCTGAATTTGCAAGAGATTAGCAGCTTCCCTGACAGGCCTCTGGTTTAGAACCACTGTTGTAAAGAATGAAAATGTAAAGTTTTGAATTACAAAATCTGCTGATAAATCTGTGCCAAAAGTTTATGGGAAATTTAGGGGCCAGAAAAAAAATTTCACGTGGCAAGTGAGTAAGGGCACACTTCCAGGGAACTGAAGTGGGCATTGTAAGGACTCCTGAGTTTCTCATATTGGATACAAGGCAGCAGACGGATGGGCAAACAAGGACTGGGGTCTAAGACTTCTGTAGACATGCCCACCAGGTGCATGGGGTGTCCCACAATGTGAAGGAAGGGTTATCCTGCCCTTTGTCACTGTTTAGTCCCAGATGTTAACAGAGAGAAGTGACAAATGGGCATTCAGAGTCTGCCTCGTGTGCCTCACAGGAGACTAGCACTAGTGATAATGGATGCCAGAACGTGACTGGGTAAACACTGTACATGGTAGTTAGAACACAGGCACGGGAACAAGACAGCCTAGATTCAGATCCCACCTTTGCCACTTATTTGCTGTGTGACCTTGGACATGTTACTTATTAACTACTCAATGCCTCAGTTTTCCTATCTCTAAAAGGATCTACCTCATGTAGTTATGTATTTGTTAATATTTTTAAGGAACTTAGAATATTTCCTGTCATCTGGGAAGTATTTATTGAATAAAACTTAGAGGATAGGATTATAGACTTGTCCCCTCCAACTTCAGCAGACAGGTAAGAAAATTCTCCCATCTGTCACCCCCTGTATATCCCATGTGTCTAGAAAAAGGAAAAGGTAGGCGTGACCTACACTTACAGTCTAAAAGCATTAAGGTGGGGTCATGGGAGGTGAGAGGTGACCACAGCCCAGCCCAGAGTGAGTTTGGAACCCAGTGGAGTGGAGAGGGTGTCCATAGAGGCAGGGGGAGGAAGCTACAGCAAGAAAACTAATTACTACCACCTATTCCACATTCCCCATGCAAGCTTCACCTCCTGTCCTTGCGGTCTGAGCCCAACTGAGCACAGTTGAGAAGGCAGTGGATTGGGAGATTGGTTATTATAAGAAGTGTTGATCAAATAAGTAAATATATTGAAGATAATGAGAACAAAGTTTCGCATTACCAGAGAAGAGTTACAAATATGGAAAAGAAATCTAGAATAAACCCTGTAATGTTAGATTGGAGTTAGATTAGAATTCAGTGTGTTAGTGTGAACTCAATTTCCAATATTTATAGTTGTACATAAAAACATAGAAGTTAAAACATAGAAGTTACATACAGAAACAAGTATGACTCCCGCTCAGACTACGATTTAGGACTCTCTTGGAGGCTCAAAAAGCTGGCAACTCTTCATGATTTTTCTTAACACTAAGGGTTGCACTCCTTCACTGTTCAAAATCTTTCTTATTCCTTGTGAATCCACAAAGCCAAGGAGAAGTCATCCCCAAATCTTAAAGGCTGGGGAGTTTGAGCATCTCAACACACCATACAAACCAGTCTGGGTCTTTGCTTATGGATAGGCTCTTCTTTAGAATACCTTATTTTTTCCTCCTAAAATATAGAAACCATCCACAGAGAGAACTGATGAATGACATTAAAATTTAATAAAACTGTAAGAAAAGCCAAGACCACTCATTGAAGCAATATGGCACCAAAATTCTAAATGGTAATAGTAACATTAATAATAGAAAATCTTTAAATAATGCTTACTTTGTACCTGGTATTATTTTAATGGCCTTACACATACTAACTCATTTAATCCTCACAACAATGCAAGGAGTTAGGTGATATCATTATACCTATTTTACAGAGCAGTAAGATGAAGCAGAGAGAGGTTAAAGGACTGGCCAAAAGTCACACAGCCAATATTAAATGGCAGAGGCAGGAATCAAACTGTAAGGTCTGGTCCAAGGTCAGGGCTCTCCTCCATTATCAGCAATTTACAGACCTTGTTACTGACCTTGTCACCATGCGAAGCAAAAATGTAACGGTTCCCATTTTAAAGGCTCTGTGGGTGTGAACCAAGAATCCCCAGTATGCAAATTCCCCGTGGCAGCGACCCAGGCACCCAAAGACATGGGGCACCTGTCTGCTGCAGGGACCCGTCCCCTAATGCCCCCCAAACCCCTTGGGCAACAGAGCGCCCTTTCGTCCTCCACGGCCTCTCCCGGGTGTCTCCCTCTCTGCAGCCGAGGCTCAGGGGACCTGTGAGGGAGGGGCTTCTCTCCACACCCGTGACACACCTTTACCCGGGGGCAAGGGAAGGCGGAACTGCAGGAGCAGAGCCACGAAAGGAGACCTACACTCGCGGCGGGATGTGAGCGCCCAACCGGCGCCCGCCCCTTACCGCAGTCACAGTGTCCAAAACGGCGAACCACTGCATGACGGGGCACCCGGGCCAGTTCCGGGCCTCTCTAGCCGCCTCCCCGATAGGCACTCTGTCGTTTCCGACCTCCCCGCCGATCCCCTCCCCTCCACTCCTCGCTATTAAGAGAGGCTTTTAAACGTGACATTTCCAGCTGTAACAAGGGAGGAAGGCAGGGTGCCGATCTCTGCCCATTGCGAATAGAAGTAAGTAAAAAAACTGTATTTTCTTAAGCAGTCAGAAAGAAACCCTGGAAAAATATGTAAGAAAATTAGTAAGTGGTTACCTGTAAGAAATGAACGGTTAGCAACTGAGTGAAAAGGAGAACAAGGGTGAGAGGAAGAGTGTTACCCTGAACGTTTTTAGTATATTTTAAATTTGAGATTAAATTAAATTGTAATTTGATAGTGATACCTAATTAAAATATTGGTTATAAATACACAACTGTTTTAAGGAGCATGCTGAATTGTTTACACAGAAAATCCAAGATAATCTTAGCACTCAAATTATGATAAGAGTTTAGCCAAATTGTGGAATTTTAAAAAATTCATATTCACAATTGCACTTCCAATCACCAGCACAAGTCAGAAAATGTAATTTTTAAAAGAATCAACTACAGGAGCAAAGAAATATATTACTTAAATGAAGAGGCTGTGCTGGGGAGTTTGTTCTCCGCAGTGCTTGTGCCCAAGGAAAGAAAGAATTGAAAGGCAGAGACACAACAGCAAAGCAGAGTGAAAGGTTTATTTGGATACACTCCAAGGGAGCAGCGGGTCAGAGTCAAGGTAGACAAAGAACCCGAACTTTTAGGGGAGGGTCTGTTTATGAAGTCCTAGCCTGGAGGTGCCTCTTTGATTGACACGGGGTCATTTGATTGATAGTTCTAGTTATACATCCATTCCTCTTGGTTCAGGCCTTTCCCCAAAATGCACACAGAAAAGTGGGGAGGGGGGAGGGGAAGCAAAACCGGCAATTTTATTTTAGTGAGATTATGATGAGGTGTGGTTTGGGCAGTTTTAGTTTTGTTTGATTGTGCCTGCATTGGGACGAGGTTGGGACTGGTTCGGCCTGGTCCCAACAGGCAAGGAAGTTATCTCCCTGCAAAGTCTTTGTTGTCTTCAAGTGCGACCCACTAACTGCGTGTTTTTCTTTGAACCTTATCTTTCCGTTCCCTACCTGCTCATGTCTGTCTTTCTACCTAACAGATTCTATTATAAACTTTTAATTACCAAGGATGATGGTGACACATACTATGTCTGGGTTAGGAGAACTTAATATCATAAAGATGTCATTTCTTCCTAAATTAATATATAAACTCACAGCAAAGCCAGTCAAAATCCCAAGAATGTGTCCCATGAACGTAACTAGTTGATTGTAAAGTTCATACGGAATAATGAAAGAGTGAAGAAGATCCAAGTGATTTTTTGAGTAAACGGCAGTGCAGAAACTTGCTCTACTTAATACAGGGACTTATTATAAATATATAGTAGTTAAGACAAGTAGACCAATGGAACAGAATTGAGGGCTGAGAAACATGCATGTGTGGAAGTCTGATATGTAACAGATGTGGGATTGCAAATCAGTGGGGAAAGAAGCAGCTACTTCACAAATAGTACCGCGGTATTTGGGTAGCCAAGTGGAAAAATAAAGATCGGGTTCCTACCTCACATACGCACAAAAATCAATTCCAATAAGATTAAAGTCTTAAAAGTCAAAAACTGAAACTTTAGCATTTTAAAAGAAAATTTAGGATAATTTCGTTATGATCTCTAGTAAAGAGGATTTGCTCTAAAATGTACAAATGTACAAATTTGAAGGAAAAATAACAAATTTGACTTTAATAAAAATTAAAACTGTACTTAAAAACACCAGAAACTAGTGGAAAATAAGGAAAAGACATTTCTAACATATATAGTCAGCATTAGGTTAGACTGATTTGTATATGCACAGTCGCTTAAAGTTCCTCTTTATCTTCTTTAGATCTCGGCTAAAATATCACCTCTGAATGTACAGTGAATATCTATAAATAAATAAGAAAAAAAATCCAGCAACCAAACAGAAAAAAATGGAGAAGTGCACAGGCAATTCATAGAGGAAGAATCTTGAATAATCAATAAACATAAGCAAATATGCTTAACCATTAGTAATTAAGAAAAGGCCAGTTTAAAACCATTTCATATCCACACCTCAGCAATAACATTTATGAAAAAATTGAAACTCTCATACATAGTTGGTAAAGGTACACTTACTTAAAAAGCAATTTTGAAATATATAGTAAAGTTTAAAAATGATATATATATTGGCCCAGCATCTTTCAGGTGTTTACCTTGTAGGAGCTCTTGTACATAAGCAAGAATATTAATTGAATGGCTATTGTAGACCAGGCAGTTTTAGGTATTTAGGACACAAACATGACAAAAAAGTGTCGGGGAGGAAAAAAAAATGAGGTCTGGAAGTGGGGGCAAAGATCACTGACCTCATAAAGCTAATGTTCCAGTGGGCACTGACCACCCCCCTCCAAAAAATTAAGCAAAATAAATACATAAAAGTAAAATGAAAGTTGATGAACACTTTGATAAAAGAGTAAGTAAAATTGAGGTAGAGAGATCAGAGGTCCTGGCATGTGAGGGAGCTAGCTGAAGTATCAAATAGGAAAATCAATGTAAGTCACATTGAGCAGATGACATTTTAGCCAAAATCTGAAGGAGATTGAAGAGTTAACTCTGTGCCTATCCTGGTAGAGGAAGCAACAAGGAAGCCAGGGTGGCTCTAAGCTAATAGAAAATATATACTGGTCTCTGTCCCCTGTTCAGACACAGGGCTTCTGAAACCCCTGTAATTACCTAAGCGATAAGAACACTTGGAGTATCTCTTGTTCTAATTTTTGTTCTTGACCCTGTCTCTCACACAGGGCTCCTAAAACCCTTATAAATTCCTAAGTAATTAAAGCCCTAGGAGCATCTCTTGTTCTAAAGAGGTGATTCTGGGTGGGCTCCTGGATGGGGACTGGTCACTGGAAAGACCATGATTAGAGCTTGGAATTTTCAGCCTCACTGCTCCCCCACCCCCAATTCTCCAAAGAGGGGAGAGAGGCTAGAAATGGAGTTAATACTTGATCATGCCTATGAGAGGAAGCCTTCATAAAAATCCTAATAGTAGTGGGTTCAGAGCACTTCCAGGTGGGCAAACACATCCACACTAGGAGGATGATGCACCCCAACTCCACAGGGACAGAAGTTCCTGCACTAAAGACCCTCCCAGACCTTGCTCCACTAGGGACATATCTCTTCATCTAGCCATTCATCTGCATCCTCTATCATACCCTTTAATAAACTGATAAACATAAGTGTTTCCCTGAGTTCTATAAGCCACTCTAAAAAATGTATTAAACCCAAGAAGGGGTCTTTAGAGCTTCCGATCTATAGTTAGTCAATAAGAAGCACAGGTGATAACCTGGGCTTGTGACTGGCATCTGCAGTGGGGATTGGGAGGGCAGTCTTGTGGGCTGAGCCCTTCCTTCCCTATGGGATCTGATGCTATCTCCAGGTATATAGTGCTAGAATTGAGTTAAATTGCAGGATACCAGCTGGCATCACACAATTGCTTGTTGTGGAGAAAAACCTCCACACATTTGGTGACCAGAGGTGTCAGAAGTAAAGTGTTGCATGTAAAGGAGACGCAGAAAAGAAACACGGTGAAGAACTGGGTTTTCCCCTGTGTAGGAAGGAAAAAACTGAGTTTTCCATTTTAGTGGCTGAGATAGCATGGGTTTTCCCCTGTGTAGGAAGGAAAAAACTGAGGTTTTCCATTTTAGTGGCTGAGATAGCATGAATAAGAAAGCAAGTATAAGAGATAAGGTTAGGAGACAATAAGGGTCAGATCCTGTAAAACGCTGTGGTTCACTGCAAGGACTTTAGCTTCTCAGTGAAACGAGGTGCCTTTGTGGGGTTCCAGGGAAGAGAGTGACATTCTGATTGAAATGATTACTCTGACTGCTGTGCAGAGAACCTCCTGCAGGATTAGCAAAGACAGAAGCAGGGAACCCAGTACTCAGCCGGGAGAGAGGGTATCTCAGACAGAGTGGTAGTACTGAAGGTGGTAAGAATTCCAGATATGTTCTTGTAGGGAAAATGGAAGTTACGTGGCCAAGATTCTCACCTGACCCTTGTCTGCTTGCCCACTGTGCACATGCAGTGCTCACAGGTGCAGGCTTGTACACATGTGGACAATGAGTTACTATTGACTCTATATAAAGAGCTCCACCCAGTGCTCTGGGGTTGCGAGATGGCAGAGAGGCCCAGAGGCAGAGACTGCAATGCTACCTGCAGACTTCCCCTGAGGCAGATGGATTTCTAGAGCTGGACCTGCCACCATGAGAGTAAAATTTGGTATAAACCCTTTTACCCCCAGAACATTCTGTTGTCATTTTTCAGACTCCCACTTTTTGGTCTCACTGAATCCAGAGTGAATTTGCTCAGGGATGAAATCCTCAGGTGAAACAATTCTGAAGGTAAAACCAGCATGATTTTTCTGACAGTGTGGATATGGGATGCGAAAGAAAAGAGAATTCAGAGATGATTACAAAGTTCAACTGAGCAATTGCAAGGATGAAATTACCATCAACTAATATGTTTAATTAGTGGGTGGAGAAAGTTTGGAGAGGGATAATCAATATGTGGCTTTGGTCAGGTTTGATGTGAGGGGTCAGTCATTTGCCTAGTTGTTCTCACATCCATTCACTGCCTTCAGCTGCCTTCTGGGAATATTTCCCAAACTTCTTTTCCCTTCAGTTGCTGAAAAGGTTTGGCTAATGGGAGTCACAGGAAGCATACAGGAGGGCAAGAGGAATGACCAGGGGGTTTCCCATGGTCTCTGTGTTTTGGCAGGAGGCAGGGACTGTCTCTAGCAACAGCTGGGTACACCTGGTGCTCTAATGTCTTTGATTGTCTTCCATTATTCTCGCTTAAAGTTCCTAATGATTCAGATTTTGTTGAGTGAATCAAGCTCCATCTCTGCCTTTGTTCTTCCAG